AAGCTAGTTGAAAAGAAGGAGGAGGAGGAGATGGGATTTATACCCCACCCGTCACTACTCAAAGGAATCTCAGAGCGGCTTACAATCCCTTTCCCTTCCCCTCCCCACAACAGACACCATGTGAGGTAGGTGGGGCTGAGAGAACTGCCCTTGAGAGAACAGCTCTGAAAGAATTTATGACTGACCAAAGGTCAGCAGCTACATGTGGAGGACGCTGTCCCTGCCGCCACTAATAAGCAATTACATAAGAAGTACTTATAAATTAGTGGCCCTCTCAAAGAAGACAGTTTCCAGCATGTGGCAGAAAAGTCATCAACTGGTATTTGGAGTCAAAGAAATCCACTCCAAAACAAAACAGAAAACCCTTCCCCTTTTCTGTACTATATCTTTCCGTGTGCTTCATTTCTTTCAGATATTTCCTGCTTTCCCCCCTCCCCTCAATTAAATTTGTATTCGCTTTGGAAACCTATACATAATTTCTACATTGTTATGGGCCAAACAACTTCAAGTGAACTCTTGTTGATCCATGATTAATGGGACTGCCATTGCTGCCACAATGGGCAACCTTCAGCCCCTGTACTCTGGGCTCCTGCTGCCACTCAATGGAGCAGCAGGAGCAAAAATGGTGGGGGCAGGAATCACATTGCATAACACTGTGATATTACTTCTGACCTGGAAGTGATGCCACAAGGATGAGTGGCACTCTAGGAATTTACCATAGAGATTTCAGAAATTGCAAGAGTGTTGCTGAGGCTGTGCTACCACTTCCACACATGCAACTGTAAATGGCGTCACATGATGCCAGTTTTCCAGAGTCTCTGCTTTCCCAGTGCTTCACAGGTTGCCAGCACAGGGTTGGCAACCCTAGTTATTTAATGATAGTAGCTTCTAAGGTGAAGCTCCCATACAGTAACACAAAACTGGCAATCCTACCCTAGCTTGTTGTCTAATTGGACTGCTCATATGGAGTCTAAGGGAAAATAAAGGGACAACAGAAATCATATGCTGCCTGTCCTTTAGAGAAAAGACTTGTGCACTATAGTCTGTGGCAGGAGAAGGAGAAGTTGGCTCCAGATGGAAATTCACAGGGCAGAAGAAAAATCCTAAAACAAAACCAGCTGTGACTTTGGAGATCTATGTGACAGATGAAAATCCAAGAGTGGAAGGAAAGGATTCTGTGTTTCAGCAAATGAACTGCAAAGTTGGAGGAGGAGGCTCAGATGCAGAACCAACTACAAAGCTGAAGAGGCCTGAGAGTCCAATCTATAGGTTCTGAAGTTGTAAACTTCGATGGGGAATTGTATGCAGAGTTTAGGATCTGCAGTGGGATTGGATCAAGGGAGCAAGTTGGTGTTTCTTACAGCGGAGTTTGAATATTGGGTGAGTCCAGACAGATGAGCATTTAGGGGGGAAGTCAGTGGAAATCCAACTATCACCATGCTAGGTGGGCTGTGACGGGGCAGAGGATGGCTTTACGTGGGGTGATTGAGTTACCTGAGTGAATTTGGACTAGTCTGACAATGGGTGAACAGCAGCTTGATGACATTCCCTGGGTTTTGAATTGGGTTGCCAAAGTGGACTGTACTACGAGGAAATCTCTGAGATCTTGGGTTATCGCCCAGCAAACCTGAATCAGTTACTTATGGCTATGGATGTGCTGGAGAAGGTCTGGGGGCTTTAGACAAAAGACCTTTGAGCAATGTGCTCTCTGGAGCATTCTGGCAAGTGGGTACTCCCATGTGAGAGTGTTCAAGGGAATCTGATAGTTCAGGGGGCCCTGTTTTGATATCAAACTGGATATTTTATCTAGGGCTTTGCCAGTCAAAGTCAGATCTTCTATGGAGATCAAATATATGGGCTCTTGTGGAGGTCAGCTTTGTTCATAACACTGCTGGATTGGAGCTTGCCTAGTCCAGCATCTTTTTCCTATAGCAGTCTCCGGGGTGGCCCCAAGCTGAGCATAAAGACAGCACAAAGTCAAATGGTCCTCACCAATTAGGGTGCACTGGAGGAGGTTTCATTTCACTGTCATACCTAATAACTTTTGTGTCTCAACATGCAGCTCATTCATTTTGTCCCACAGAAGGTGGGACAATGGTGAGACCTCATTTGGAATACTGTGTGCAGTTCTGGTCACCACACCTTAAAAAGGATATTATAGCTTTGGAAAAAGTGCAGAAAAGGGCAACTCGAATGATAAAAGGGTTGGAACACTTTCCCTATGAGGAAAGGTTAAAGCGCTTAGGGCTCTTTAGCTTGGAGAAAAGACGACTGAGGGGTGACATGATCGAGGTTTATAAGATTATGCATGGGAAAGAGCAGGTAGAGAAAGAGGTACTTTTCTCCCTTTCTCACAATACAAGAACCCGTGGGCACTCCATGAAATTGCTGAGCGGTCGGGTTAGAACGGATAAAAGGAAGTACTTCTTCACCCAAAGAGTGATTAACACATGGAATTCACTGCCACAGGAAGTGGTGGCAGCTACAAGCATGGACGGCTTCAAAAGGGAATTAGATAAGCATATGGAGCAGAGGTCCATCAGTGGCTATTAGCCACAAGGTATAGCTAGGGGCTCTGGGGCAAGTGATGCTCTGTCTTCTTGGTGCTTGGGGGGGGGGTCAACAGTGGGAGGGCTTCTAATGTCCTGGCCCCACTGCTGGACCTCCTGATGGCCCTGGTATTTCTGGCCACTGTGTGACACAGAGTGTTGGACTGGATGGGCCTTTGGCCTGATCCAACATTGGCGTCTCTTATGTTCTTATGTTCTTAAGGTGACAGAATGTGAGGGAATAGCCATAAAGATCTGTATGCACATACTGGGTACAGAGATGAATGATATGAATGTAGGCAAACACTGTTTCGCTGTTTAAAAAATAACTTAGCCAGTACATTAAGTGTTCATTTTCTATCAGGGGAATTCACAATCACGGTTTTCTGTTAAAAGCTTTACAAGCCAGCCATGAAATGCACATTGGTTATGGAACATTTAGATTAACTATAGTAGATCAGTGGTGCCAATAGATGGCACTGCTCCCTTGTTTTTAAATAGCAGGTTTAGCAGCATTGTAGTCATATGCTAAAAGCGGCCTTTGACCAGAGTAAGATTTCTCCTTCATGCAACCCTGTATTTCATGTAAATCCCCCCTGGGAATTGTTTTCTGAATTAGAATTAATATCTTTCCCAAAGGCTCCATGGCAACCCATCTATACTTCTCACTATAACACTCAGAGGTAAGTCGATATGGTTCCTGCAATACAAATGGGAAACCAAGGCAGACATTGAGACAGGTGCTTGTCTCAGTCAATAGAACAACTGGGAATGGAAACCAGATTCAGCTCCAACACTTTACAAAACCATAATAAAAGCTATAGGTAAGTACAATAATGTTCTATAGATGTGTCAAAGGGCCAATTCACACAAACATTAAGTTTGATGTAACAACTTGAAATGCCTGCATGTTTACCTTCCTGTGCACCATGTAGAGTTACAGGACTATTCTAACGACACATGACAGCAAAATACAAAATAAAACAAAAATTGCCTTAATTTTGCATATGCCTGTGGGATTACTAGCAGATGTGGCCACAGCAGGAAAATCAACATGTATAAGGATGTCAGGTAGCTTTTGGATACCCAGTTTTGTTCCTAACCAGAGGTATACTGTGCATGGGGATGCATATTTGACTGAACACCAGCAAAAGACAATGCCCTGTTTCTCCTTATTCCACCAGATGGCCCTGGCACATGTTCTCTAATTAGACTGGCACTGAGACTCGAAGCTATGTTTGAACTGGGAATGCTGATGAGAACGGCATCCTCTTGTCAGAGCCTCCAAGTTAAGGAAAAATTAATGCTGTGGTGTCATGTAACATGTTTCTACACGTACATACTACATCACTGGCCATGGCTGGAAGGGACAGGAAAATGCAGAATGGGAGTATGTCTACTACACATTACAGAAGAGAGGGGGAGGAGTGAGCATGGGGATGCATCTTGTTGAATATAAAGTTTAGTTCTGCCCATTGAGCCAATAAAACTTTCCTGCTTATGACTCAAGTCCACAGCATAGGAAGAAGCCTGGTCTTCCCCCCCCCCTGCTATTTGACCCCCCCCCACTGTTGTTGAAGACAGGAGGGATAAGAGCCCAAAGTGTGAGTTAAGCATGGAGAAGCAAGCACATGAACAGCTATGTCTTCACATGCCTTTTCTACACCGTCATAGCAAGATGCCTACTGTTCTACGCCAGTCAGTATCAACATACATAGATAGGACCCTAGAACCTGTCCTGGTTACACACGAAGATTAGTACACCAATATGCTACGTGCTATAGTGGTTTAAGTGTCAGGCTAGGATCTGGGAGACCCAGGTTCAAATCGCCACTTTAAGAAGGGTGCTTTCTAGATTACCTTGGGCTGGTCACACATGCAGCCTAACCCAGGTCATAGGGTTGGTGAAAGAAAAAAAATTGGAGGAGAGGAGAATATGGGCCACTTTGGGTCCCCACTGGAGAGAAAGAAGGGCTAGTATGAATTGCATGACACCCATGAGGGACAAGGGATACATGAAACACATACACATCAAGCTGCCTTACACTAACTTAGATCATTGGAGGTGCCAGGGATTAAACATGGGACCTCCACACACAAAACTGTTGCTTGACTTTTAAGCCATGGACTCTTCCCAACTGCTGCAAATCTGCTGTGTTGGTAATGGAACAGAAATATGTACAGGCAAAAAAAGAAAAGGTGTGACACAAAGGGAATCTGTGTATTTTCGTGGCCTTTCATTGGATAGGAGAAGGTAGGAGAGGGCCTATTCAGGCCATGGGCTCAAGGTACCACATTGTCTACGGCCATCTATGAATGAGACTGCTGCCATTAGAACCCTAAATTCTTGTAATTGGATAATATCTGGTCTGTCCAGGAACTTCCACATGGAAAATATATGATACTGAACATGAAATATTGGAAAATAAAATAAACAGGACTGATTGCCAGATTTTATGAAGGAAGTTAAAGCAGTAAACAGAGCATAGCTACTTTAATGTAAAATACAACAAAGATACTTTATTTTGGATTAAAGTCAGATCATTCTTGTTCCTCTTCCAGGTAGAATGTTATCAAATGTCCTGAAGCAAGCTCTGCTGAGGTCTCTGTGGAGTTGTAGGTAATCACAAAGTTAGTCTTTTTCCTTCTTTTTCTTGTGACCCTGTATGACAAGAGGACAGAAAACGTAAGCTGGACCCAAGGATCGTTTTCTGATGCCCTCTTATTTGCTATATAGTAGCCATATTCCAAAATGAAAGGATTTCTGCCCTGGCATCCATCACGTCCAGTTCCCCCTCCTGGTTCACACAAGTATCCCATAGATGATAAACAGTGTCTAGGAGGCACTGGGCAGGTACCAAAGGCAGGGGAGGCTGAGATGGTTTAATGTCCGCCACCTCACCCAAAGGCCTGGAAGAACAGCTCCATCTTACAGACCCTGCAGAATTGCAATAGCTCTCGCAAGGCCCTGATCTCAAATGGGAGCATGTTCCATCAGGCCAGGGCCGAAAAAGCCTTGGCCCTGGTTGAGGCTAAGTAGACATCTCTTGGGCCAGGGATTACCAGGAGGTGTTGATCTACACAGCACAAGGCTGTTCAGGGCACATATGGGGAGAGGCAGATATGCTGGTCCCAGGCTATGTAGGTCTTTAAAGGTCAGTACCATAACCTTGAATCGGATTCGGTATTCAATTGGCAGCCAGTGTAGGCAAAGCACTGGTTGGATGCATGCCCACAAAGGCATTGCTGTCAGCAGGTATGCCACCGCATTCTGTACTAGCTGCAGTTTCTGGATCAGGTTCCAGAGTAGCCCCATGACTGTAGAGCAAGTTATAGTAATCCAGCCTGGAAGTGACCATTGCATGGATCACCGTAGCTAAGTCCTGAGAGGTGAGATAGGGAACCAGCTGCTTGATCTGGTGGAGGTGGTAAAAAGCTGAACTGGCAACCGCGGTGACCTGGGCCTCCATAGAAAGTGAGGGATCCAGAATCACTCCAAGACTCCTCACCCTTGGAGCTGGTGCCAATGGCACCGCAACGAGCATTGGGAGCCGGATTCCCGATCCGCCCGCCCCCCACGGCACAGGTACAGGACCTCCGTCTTTGCATTTAATTGTTACTTTGAATCCCCATTGAACAAGGTTTCAGTCCTCTGGCACCTTTAAGACCAACAAAGTTTAATTCTGGGTATAAGCTTTCCTGCGCATGCATACTTCATCAGATACAACAGACTCCCCATTGTGAGAAAAAAGCAGGATCACAATATTTAATTAAACAAAAACAAACAAACCTGATATCATATTTGCAGTCTTTTGAATCATTAAACCAGGGACCCTCCCATAAACAAACATCCACAGCTACTCTTTCCGTAGAATTTCTTCATATTCCAAATTTCTGACGTTTACCAAAACATACTTAATAGGCAGGATCTGGTGCGGTGTTTCCACCCCCCACCCCACGGAACGATATTTCGAAGGGCATTTCAAGCTCCTGTGGGAGGTGGGAAGTTTCAAAAGTCATGCTCCATAGGCATAAGTCGTTTATGGAAACGATGTGCTGGATCCAACCCAATACATAGTACAGGGCACTTCCTTTTCCCCAAGGGAGACTACTGAGTCATGCCTTGCCCATTAACTTATTACCTTCTCAGAATCACTGTCTGAGCTGCTGCTGCTGCTGCTACTGTCATCATCATGTCCATCCTGCTAGAGAGCAACAAGCAAACAATTATCCTACAGTGGTGGCACAGAAATAAGAACATGCCAATTAATTTACATGGATCTCAATTCAGGGGCAACCCTCTGTCCCCTTTTTCAGGGCTGACTCTTGTCCCTGGCCCTTCCAGTTAGCCCTGTCAAAAGGAAAGGGACAAGAAGAGAGGTCATCTCAATTGCAGGGCTATGATGAATTAGTGTCCCCTGCCCTAACTCAGTTTGAGACCACACTCCATTATAGTTAATCTATCTGAGCTTCGTGCATTTTTTCCCCAATTCTCTTTTTTCTTCTGTCTTTGGTGTCATGTATATTTGATTGTGCAGCACTTAGTTAAATGTTCAGTACACTAGTATGAAAATACTAATCAACATTTTAAATAATTCATAGCGGGGAGGGCATGCTTTTCTCACAGTTAGTTCTCAAACATATCCTACTTTCAGCTCCTGACTCCATCCTTTTCTGAACAAGCAAGAATGACATATCGTAGTCACATGTGGTAGATGGTGAGCATTTGCTTATGCAATGGAGAAATGAAGAATAAGAACCTTCAAAGACTTTAAATCCTCAGCATTTGCCATAGTTTACATACATTTACTGACCATACCTTAAAGCAGAGAAAGTAACTAAACTAGCCAGCTGGGCCCAATTGCTTGTCCTCTTTTCACATCTTCAATGGACGCCAACACAAGTTGTGTCAGCAACAGGGCTGCTTTACTGTAATATGGGAAATGAACATGAACTCCACATGCAGCTTGGAGGCCAGCCCTTAGAAAGATGCTAACCACCCTGCTATATTACCAGAAGGCAGTTCTACATTTCCAAGGGAGTCTGTCTTCCAGTCACATGCCCAGTTTTTGAATCCCTTTTTCTTAGTAATCTTTCCTTGTCAGATAGCCAAATTGGGCCCAGGTTGACTCATGCGTACAAAGCAAAGAAGGAGCAAATTCAACTCAGTCATTTATAACATTCATAAGAACACAAATGTTGAGTCATACCCAGCTAGTGGATGTGGCATGTAATATCTTTAAACCCACTGGGTGCATCCTTCAGTGTATAATGAGGACTAATTATTAAGTAAACATATACTGCCTCTCCACCCAAACCATGGTTCAAGCAAGTGCCTCTTTTCTCCCTCACCAAGCTCCTGTTGTAATTAGAAGCTTTTATTGTTTCAATGTTTTCAAACATGCGTCTCCTATGAACATTTTCACCACGATCCTAATCAGAATGGGACCTTCATGTGCCTGAAAGTTGGGAACCCTGATCACAGAATTTCCAGAATTTTATCTGCCTTGGCCTTCTAACTGAGCCTCTCCAAATTCAAACCTTTCTTGAATCAGTTTGTTTCATTTCTGCTAGCTGTGGATATCACATTCCAGAAGCTGAAGAATGATTTGCAGCTTTTATAGAAAACTTCACGAACAGAAGTTCACAAACTGAAGAGCCCCCACACACTTCCACAAATTTTAAAGCAGTTCATGGCTGTTCATGAAGAGCAGACCATGATTTTGAATGCAGTTCATGGCTGTTCATGAAGAGCAGAAAACAGACTTAAATGGGTCTGAGCCATTTAAACCCCTACTTTTTGCTCTTCACAAAAAACAGCTGAGCGGTGGGGAGCAGAAAGTAGGAGTTAAAATGGTTTGGAGCCATTTAAAGCCCTGCTTTCTGTTCCCTGCCACTCAGCTGTTTTTGCCAGGAGCAGAAAGCAGCAGGAAACAGAAATAAGGGGTTTCCCCAGACAAAGCAATGGGAGGCAGAAAGTGGCCATTTCTGCTTTCCCCACAAAAAAGGGGGTGGACAGAAAGCAGCACCAAGCCATTTAAACCCCTGCTTTCTGGTCCCCACCACTTTTCATGGAGAAACCCCTTCTTTCTGTTCCCCACCAATTTTTGCAGGGAGAACTCTTGCTTTCTGCTCCCCATGAAAAGCAGCAGGGAGCAGAAAGCAGGGGTCATGAACTGCTACAAACTGGTTCGGTTTACGAACTGTCCTCTCAGTTCATATTGGTTTCTGGTTTGGTTCATGGTTCAGCCACGAACCACAAACTGAAATGAGCCACAAAAATGCAATTTATGCCCATGCTCAATGCTATCATATTTTTCTTTGCCATCAAGGAAAGGGGAGGGGTTGTGGGTCAGTGGCTTTGCATGCAGAAGGTCCTAAGCTCAATCCCTGGCATCTCCAGTTAAAAGGACCAGGTCATGTGAAAGACATCTGCCTGAGAACCGGGCAAGCTGCTGCTAGTCTGAGCAGACAATACAGACTTTAGCTGTTGTAGATTTTCCGGGTTGTATGGCCATTGTAGGACCTGACGTTTCGCCAGTAGCTGTCTTAACTCGGGGTATATAAACAACAAGAATCAGCAGTAAGAATTTGTGTTTTTGCACTATTATGCAAAATACATTTAGAGATCTGCATACATTTATCATTGGCAATGAATTTTAGGGTTTTTTATTATACAATGCAAGCAACCTAGAATCTGAATAAATTCTTGGGAGCTCAGCAACAGATCCTATCATTTCTTAATTCTCATAAAACACATCACGAGATGTTAAACCTGTTTTTGAAAATGCTACTGCAGAGTGCTGATGATGTCTCACATGACTGAAACCTCCTTCATACCTATGAATTTGCCAGTACCATCATGTCCAGTAGTTTAATCAAGCCATGACACATCCCTAACAACTAGCTATCCTACTGCCTTATAAGTGTTCAAAGATAATGATTCCAAATTGTCATAGGCAATTGGTTCCATTGGCCAGCTGCTCTTATAGTGAGGGGAGGCATTTTATATAATGTTTTGCCTGTATTTATCTACAGTCATGAAATATGGAAGGCAGCTGTTTATTGCCTTCACAGCTGTGGGTCTGAATCTCGAAAAAAGATGATCCATTCACCCTTAATCTTCCTTTTACTAGGCTGAATATTATCCATTGATTTTCATTTGTCTTTTATTTCTCTGCAGACTGTTGCTCCAAGGCATGTAATTCTAGTACGAGAAATAACAAGATTTCATATCTATATTTTGTACTGATCTGTGCAGGAGTAACATCAACATCTGCTCATGTGTAAGGAGGTTCAGTTGTATTATTAGAGATGTCTCCAGATCTGAGGATGGAAAAAAATGTGTGAAAAGGTCACCAGAGGCTAGTGGCTAGCTACTGTACCTGTATCTGGCTGTGGTCACACACACTAAATAATCCACTTTCAATCCACTTTCAGTGCACTTTCCAACTGGATTTTACTGTGTGAACTGGCAAAATCCAGTTGGAAAGTGTATTGGAAGTAGATTGAGACTGGATTATTTAGTGTGTGTGACGGCAGCTTCTGACAAAGGGAGCTTTGGCTCCCGAAAGCTTATACCCTGGAAATTTTGTTGGTCTTTAACCAGGTCCTAATGGGCTTGAATCTTGCTCTTGGCTACCCACCTGAAACCAGAGGCTAGTAAAGAGTGAGTACAATCTCCCCCCAGGAGAAAGAGAAGATCCTGTCTTCCACAACATCGGAAGTCTGAAGCTGGGACCTCTCTGCAAGCAATACAGGTGGGTTGATACCTTATCTGTAGGAACCTGCTTTCATTCAGAGGAGATGCAAGTAGCCACAAAAAACATGGACAGGACCTTCTCTGTGATGTCACCATGTTTGTGGAATGGCATCTCTGCCATCATACACTTGGCCATTTCTTTGTTAATGTTCCCAGGCAGGATTCTCTAAGGCTTTTAAATACTTAGTTCTTACTTGGGGCTTGTTTTTGTTTCCTCATTTTAATGCCTCTCTTAATTGTTTTTAAACTTTGCTCACCTGATGTTTACCTGCCACTCGATTGAATTATATTTTAATTGCTATGGCATTTTTGTTTGCTCATTTGATTGTTTTTGTTGCTTTTTCATGTTAGTTTGTATAAATGAAAACTTCAGGCAGTTTTTATATAAAGTTGTTTATTGGATGTATTATACTCATTTATTTCATTAATTTGTTTTATTGTTTTGTTTGTCTATATTAAACTAGCTTTTTGGAGTTCTTTTCTAATTCTGGAATCCACCTTGAGTCTTAAGGGGGAAAGGAGAGATATATGAAGTAAATACACAAAATACATTTCAATAGTTTTGTTTCGGGGTAAGCAGTAAATAAATGAACAAAATTGGAGAGGGTATAAATCAATCAAAACTTTACATAAAGAAGTTTTTGTCATGTGCCTATAGTCTGCAGCAGAATGTGGGAATTTTGCAGGTTTCATGCTCTATTTTGAATGTATACTTTGGATGTGTGCTATCAGTTTGCCTCTTGCAGAGACTGCAGATATTAAAGGATACTTATCCAAAAACCTCACAGCCAACTCTCCTGGCCTCATAAAAAGGCTAGCCCTAATTTTTCAGCCTTTCCTTACCTTTTTCTCTTTCTTCTTCTTTTTGTCTTTGTCTCCATCTTTCTTCTCTTTTCCCTTTCCCTTCTCCTTCTCTTTCTCTTTGTCTTCTCTCCCAAATACTAGCAAAGATAACAAGAAGTTAGAAAACAGAGAAATACTGTCTGTACATTTACACAGCTGGGGCAAGGAAATGCATTTCCTTCCTCAACTAAGAAAACTTTTGAACCCTATTATAACACTGGCTAAACCTTAGGAGAAGTCACCAAAATATGAGAGAGTGCCAGTCCTTCATTCTCTTCCCATGACTTGTTGTGGTTTTGCCTCTAATCTACTGAGCCAAGGCAGGGATAAGCTGCCTAAGGCTGAAGAGAGATAATACAGGAGGCCTGACTCTATGCCACAGCTGTCAGGGCTGGCCCACTCACTAGGCGAACTAGACTTTCGCCTAGAGTGGGGGACCATCATGGGGGCATGGGCGCCGAGCTGGGGAAGCCAGGCGGCTGCCGGAGGCCCCTCTCTGGCCCCAGCCAGGCAGCTCAGGAAATCACCGTGACCTGATTGGCTGTGGAGCAACCCAAAAAGGTGCGCAGGGAGACCGGGGGGGGGGGCACCGGCTCCCCGCTGCCTGGCTGACTGACTCATCCCCCCGGGCGACGAGGCAGGCAGCTGCGAAGGGACAATGCGAGTCAGACTGCAGGGAGAACTTTCTCAGAGGCCAGGAAAGCTAGGAGAGTGCACAAGGCTGCTCGAGATTTGTTCCTCAGTTGGAACTGCGAGGTGATCTGAGTGGGTGGGTGCCGGAGGAAGAGAGGGAGGGAGACTGGGAGGGAGGGCTGACGGCGCCCTCCTTGGCGTGAGTCTCTGCAAATCCTTCCCACTTGCTCTTTGGCCCCCCGAAGTCGCTGGGGTTTGTTCGCCCCAGTGGCCTCGGGGTCGGTGTCTCTCAGTCCCACCCCCAGTGGAGAAAACTCCCAGGTCCCTCCCGCGGTGGGGGAATGGCACCTGGGACTGGGCCGGAAGCGGGCTCGGCCTGCTGCTTCTTGGGCCGGAGAAAAGCCAGGGTGGAGGTGGCCCGCCGGGCTTGGGCAGGGCTGTGGGCAGGCCGTGGGACCACTTGTACCATTTTCCTGGCGGTCTGAGCAGCAGCGATCCACACGCTGGAGAAATGGGCCGGTGCCTCTGGGCTGCCTCCTTCCCCGCAGGATACCCAGGAGCCTGCGAAGGCTGGCGCTTCTTCCCTCCCTTCAGGGCCCATCTCCAGAGCTGTCCCCCCTCACCCTTCTGGCCACCACCATCCCTGGCGCCTCCAGACTCCCTAGTCAGTCTTCTGGAGGGCAATCTGATCTCCTTGGGAATAGACACCCAGCAGCCCTTGCGCCTTTCTTTGGGATCAGCTGTGTCAACCACCTTAAATCCCTTCTTCAGAGCCGCAAAAATAACAACTGGAGTGAGTGCTGGGGGGGGGACACACTGGAGGTTGGAAGGTTGTTCGCTACGGAAAGAAGCCAAGGCCCGGACATGGGGGTTCTGCTGGGCGGTGGCTCGCCTGCTTCTCTCCCCCCCCCCTCACTTCTTCCTCCCTGGCCAGCAAAGAGGGCAGACTGGGAGTCTGATGGGTTGCTTTGTATTCTCACGCCCGGGCTCATGGACGCCTCTCTCCAGACCTACTCTAGTGCGGTCTCCCTGGCCAGAAAGAGGTCTGCTCTGCTCAGCGGGGCCTGGAATGTGCCCTCAGAGGCCTCAGAGAGGCACCAGCGGGGCAGTCGCTCGCTCACCTCTGCGGCGCTGGACAGGATGGCAGGCAGCGGCCGGGCCAAGATTCCTGGAGCCGAGGGGGGCCTTGAGTGTGGCGGAGCAGCTGGGAGGGGCCTAGGGCCAGCCGCCAACCCTGCCCATCCAGGTGCAGGGGGGAGGAGGGAGGCCGCCACCTCACTCCCCCCCCTTCCTGGAGGTTGGCAACCCTGTAATTAGTGGGCACACGGGGGGGGGCGCCAAAAGGTAGCTTCACCTAGGGTACAAAAAAACCTGGAGGCGGCCCTGACAGCTGTCCCTCAGGCCCTTATCCTGAGCTAGGAGTGCCATAAACCCTTATGTTGGCTACTCATGTTGTTGGCCAGGTTGCCAATCTCCAGCTGGAGCCTGGAGAGCTCCTGGCATTACAACTGATCTCCAGACAATAGAGATCAGTTCCCCTAAAGAAAATGGCTGCTTTGGAGGGTGGACTCTATGGCATCACACTCTGCTGAGGTCTCTCCCCTCCTCAAACCCCATCCTCCCCAGGCACAACCCTCAAATGCAGGGGCGTCAAACTAATTTGTAACAAGGGCCGGATCTGACATAAATGTCACTTTGTTGGGCTAGGCCATGTGTGCCATAAAGTGTAATGCCAGGTACCAGAGATATAAACTTAATAAAGGCTATAGGCAAACCTAATTAACGATATTATTTGTTACTCAAAATACAAACATGCTCAAAACATTAACACTCTTACAGTATTTCCTTACAGTAGCGCTCTGTTGCCCATCCTCCCACTTCCACCGCCCATTATGCATTAGAACTGGGACATTATACAGGGATATATTGCACAGCCTCTGTCACCTGACAGTAAAGGTAATCAGTTGCTTGAAGGCCAGATAAAAGCCCCAGATGGGCCAGTTCTGGCCCATGAGCCATATGTTTGACACCCTGAGGTATCTAGGAATTTCCCAAACCATAGGAAGAGAACTTATGTTAATAAAACCTAGGGATTGGTTTCAGTAAATGTACTAACTTCTCACCTTTTAAGATTGTAGACATCCTTCAGTAGTCACACAGCTCTTGCCGGTTCTTGATATTTTAACCAATGATTCTCAGGTTAATATAATCCAAGTTGCCTGTATGTGAGCAGAATGCAGGATACCAGGGGGTGGGAAGACAAAAGAACTCAAGTAAATGAGGAAGAAGAGTTCCTTATGAATGAGTTAGAGAGAGAAGATGCTTAATTTGAATCTTACCCAGTGTATTTGGAGCCATAAGACAACTTGGAAAGATTAGACATTACTAACAGATTTCTAAATTGATGGAGAAGGAACCAAGTTTTACATGTTAAACTGGCTTCATCTGCAACCTCACCCATCTCCAATTTAACACTACAACAATTAACACCAGCAGTATACACAGCTTTGGGAAAGTAAATTATAATATACATTTTGAATTTGATTAAGAGGCTTTACTAGTTCTCCTACTGTATCTGGAAGATTTGAGGAGTTTTTCCCCCCCTTTAAGGCTGAATAATATTATTCCACATACCCATTTTTAATTATGCAAATTTGGCAACATTGAGACTTCCTGCAGGCTTGCCTCGGGTGATGTCTCAATCCCTTGCTACATTTGCCTCTTTTGATGCCAGAGCTTTATAATAACAGAATATTTGGACTCAGAGGAAAGGGGAACATACCAAAATCCAGAACTCCAAACTACGCATGAAACTAAAGTGCTTTCCTCTACAACCAAAGATTATGTAGTACATTTTCTAAAAAGGGAGAGAATAATAATAATAATAATAAAAAGAAAACTTACCTGATGAGAAAGCAAAGAAGTCTTCCAAGTGCTTTATGGGCTAAGAGAAGCACAGTTTCTGTCTTGTCATATGCTCTCCCTCTCTCTCTCTCTCCTCCCCTTTCATGTACTTGGAAGACAAGAAAAACTGGTTCCAGCAGCTTGTTTGGCCACAATGTGCAAACAGGAAGACTATCCTTTCTATGTATGCAACTTTCATTCAGGCAAGCCCCATTGTAATACTGTGACTAATGTTAACAGAAATTTGATTCTAGTGGGCAACAATCAGCAGTAATTATAGGACCGTTGTCCCATTATTTAATTCAAGTTGTATTGGCGCCAGGGGTCATTTCGTAGAAAAAGAGCTAGGGGGACTCATTAGCATAACTCATTAGCATATGTCACACCCCCTGACATCAGGGGCCCGGCGGTGGACCTACAAGGCCAACGGGAGTGCGAGGAAGCCCCGCGAAGGCCCTCCCTGGCCCCAGGCAGGCAGGGGTGGGGAGAGGCGGGGAGGAAGCAACTTACCCTCCCTCTTCTCCTGCCTCCTCCTGGCTGAATGAGGGCCGGAAGCGGGGCGGCTGGAAGCAGGGGGCGGGGATTCGTCATGTGCCCCGCCCCCTGCACCTCACCCGGGGGAACTGCGTTCCCCCGCGTTCCCCCCCGAAATGACCTCTGATTGGCGCAGCACAGGCCACCAATAGCACTTTCCAGAGCATAGGGTCTTAGCCTCTGTTGAACTATTAGGTGCGGCTCCTCAGTTGAATGCCTGGTGGAAGAGCTCTGTCTTGCAAGCCCTGCAGAATTGCAATAAATTCCGCAGGGGCCTGATATCCTCCGGGAGCTCGCACAGAGATTGCTGCCAGGCCTAGGTTTGCTCTCGTCCATGTGGGACCTTCCGGAGCTACAACTGAACTCCGGAAGACAGAGATGCTGTATGGTGCTCATCTCCGTTTCAAAGCCGAAGAGCCTGTGCTGTCCGAAGACGTTTCCGTGGTCATGTGGCCGGCATGACTAAACACCAAGGCGAACGGAACGCTGTTACCTTCCCACTGAAGTGGTACCTATTTATCTACTTGCAATTTCTTGCTTTCGAACTGCTAGGTTGGCAGGAGCTGGAGCTAGAGATGGGAGCTCACTCCGTCATACGGCACCCGGGTCTCGAACTGCTGAACTACCGACCTTCCACAGCCTGCAGTTCAGTGTCTTAACCACTTACTCATCCATAAAATGGCCAAGAGACCAATCAGTCTTGCAGGGTTGTTATGAGGATCAGAGGTCATTTCGGGGGGATCGCGGGGGATTGCAGTTCCCC